ATACCTGAAAACTGCCACTTCAAGTCAACATCACAGCCCCATTACAAAAACAAAAAACAAAAGACTTATTTTATTGGCATAGCAACGTGGTTGTTATGGTTACATAACTTGTCAGTGGTGCCCAAGATGCTATGATGATTGTCTTTGTCTCTTTGTCTTTTGCTTCACAAACATGTCAAGCCTCAAATCTGTTTTTCCACTATTTTTAGGCAAAATTCAGAATGACTCCTTTTCCAATTAACAAGTTGGAATTTGAATTTAATTGGCCACACCTACAAGATGTTGAATTGGAATTTGAATCAGAAAAGAGGAATGTACTGTAATTTAAATAATTTAAATTCAAATACATTCAATCATTAAACAGGGATTTATGCAACATGTTTTCTATTAAATTATATATACATGTAAATGGTCTTATGTAATGTTTACATAAAGTAAAAACTAATTTCTACTGTATAGGTGTCATTTTGAAACAATGATTATTAAAATTATGTTATGTGTATATGTTTTATGTTTACTCCATTTTCATTTTAGAAATTTAAATTACATTTCATTTAAAAAAAACAACATAGGTTTTCTATTAAATAAAAAATGTCAATGTTCTTGCTTAATACAAATTTCTATAGGTGGAATTTAAAGCATTGATTATAACAATCATCTAATGTAAATTGAAATTGTTTCATGCTGTTTGCACTTTTAATTCTAGACATTTAAATTAGAATTCTGTATTCTATGTTTACTTTAAATTTTAAATTATTTTACATTTTAAAAAAGGCATACTCAATTAAAATAATTGTTAACAATTTAAATTCAAATGATTCAATCTAAATTCTGCTTTAAATTTTCTACATTCAATTTGAAAGTATGTGGAATTTAAAAGAATTGTTAATTAAATTCTAAATGATGCACAACCCTATAATCCCTGCAAATGCGATCTGGTCCTATTACACAAATCCAGTTCGGTAGAACATCTGTGATGGTCCAACCGCAGGGCTTGTCATTTAGTGTATCAAATTTTTCTCATCTGTCTATCCACTTACAGTGACATCACCCTGAGAGTCCGATTGATGTCACATTAAAATGACATTTGATTCCAAAGTACACTTTTGGGATACGGCTCTCAGTTTTCTACTTTTCTCTGTCTCTTGCTCATCTGAGTTGAGCCTGGAGCACTATCAACTGGATCTTGCTCCCCAGTTTGTGGCTTTATTGTTTTACTGTTTTAGTGGACTTTATGAGCATCATGCAACACATCCTTGTTGAAAGCAAAGCATCAGGTGAATGATTAAGAAGTGAAGCCTTTTCATGTTGAATTGAGTTGTCGCAGTGGGAGAGTGATGATAGTAGAGGGGGAACCATGTGGAACTGCCTCCAACACTTAAAAATAAAGCAGCCCCATTCAGCAGGATGGAACAAAAGAGACAAGCTTCCTCTGAACGTGAGGCTCTGTTACAGTGGTGTGACCCCAGCCCGTGTCCCACAACGGGAGGCGAGGAATAAAAGGCTGGAGGAGACAAAGAGGCGACTGCAATACGGGTGGTGTGCTGCAGGCTACACCGCTTACTAGGAGGCCCCTAAAACCTCCAGGGCCTCCAGTGACAGGCATGAGGATACAATAGAGAGGCCTGGGAAGGGGAGGCTCAGACTTGGGTAGAGTAAGCTGCATCTGGGCTCTATAGTCTGACCATCTGGAGCACAGACATGCTTCTTGCCATCACATGAGTGGATAGTTTTGGCAAACATAAATGGATGCTCATAAATGTATTTATTTTTGTCAGAAAACTCTATTAGTGTCAATACTAATGCTATCAGTATGGAAGCCCGTTTTCACTATGGAATCAAAAATTTTTTTTAATTGCTTTTTATCTTACAATTCTTGCAAGACTTTTTCTTGCAACTGTGAGTTTATATTTCCTAATTCTAATTATAAAATGATGATATAGAAACTTAGAAATGCGAGATGTAAACTCACAATTCAGAGAAAAATGTAAATGACAAACCGTAAATGCACAATTGCAACTGACATCTTGCAATTCTTTTTTTTTTTTTCTCAAATAAGAATTTCTTCTCAGAATTGCAAATTATAAACCTACAATTGAGAGTTAACATCTCATAATTCTAATGTCTGTCTCACAATTCTGTGTATAAAAATGTATAAAAAGTATGAACTGTGAGATATAAAATTTGAAATGTGAGATTAAAAAGTTGCAATTACCTTATTTATTTTTTATAAAAGAGACAAGCTTCCTCTGAACGTGAGGCTCTGTTACAGTGGTGTGACCCCAGCCCGTGTCCCACAACGGGAGGCGAGGAATAAAAGGCTGGAGGAGACAAAGAGGCGACTGCAATACGGGTGGTGTGCTGCAGGCTACACCGCTTACTAGGAGGCCCCTAAAACCTCCAGGGCCTCCAGTGACAGGCATGAGGATACAATAGAGAGGCCTGGGAAGGGGAGGCTCAGACTTGGGTAGAGTAAGCTGCATCTGGGCTCTATAGTCTGACCATCTGGAGCACAGACATGCTTCTTGCCATCACATGAGTGGATAGTTTTGGCAAACATAAATGGATGCTCATAAATTTATTTATTTTTGTCAGAAAACTCTATTAGTGTCAATACTAATGCTATCAGTATGGAAGCCCGTTTTCACTATGGAATCAAAAATTTTTTTTAATTGCTTTTTATCTTACAATTCTTGCAAGACTTTTTCTTGCAACTGTGAGTTTATATTTCCTAATTCTAATTATAAAATGATGATATAGAAACTTAGAAATGCGAGATGTAAACTCACAATTCAGAGAAAAATGTAAATGACAAAACGTAAATGCACAATTGCAACTGACATCTTGCAATTCTTTTTTTTTTTTTTTCTCAAATAAGAATTTCTTCTCAGAATTGCAAATTATAAACCTACAATTGAGAGTTAATATCTCATAATTCTAATGTCTGTCTCACAATTCTGTGTATAAAAATGTATAAAAAGTATGAACTGTGAGATATAAAATTTGAAATGTGAGATTAAAAAGTTGCAATTACCTTATTTATTTTTTATCTCATGACAGAAAGAAGGTTCCATATATCTGAGCACCTGAAATAAAGTCGCAAAAAATTATGTGAACCTCATCCTCTTTTCTCCCAAATGACCAAAAGCCATAAGTGGTGACCATAAGTGAGTGGTGCCACTCAAAAAAAGAAAAATAACCTAAAAAGTGTTTTTGTATGTGTGTGGGGGGGGCTTTAGGGTGTAAAATGAGCATGGCTTTCATTGATGGTGATGTATGTGACCACAGGGATTTCACATTGTTGTCTTCACAGCTTCTGTTTGTCAGATGATACAGACATCAATCTTTAGTGTACATCTGACTCGAGCACACATACTACAATGTATAAATCATACTTAATACTTTTTTGTACTGTTGATGAGGCATACTTGCGTGTCATGAATATCATCTGAGACTTTTCTCATCTGACACCTTCTGAATCTGAAACTGTTGATTTTTTTAGCCTGTCGAACAGTTACAAGTTACATTTAGCTGGAGGCACAGAATTTTAGTAGTCTAAAGACACATATTCAAATAGGGTAAGGAAAAATAATTAAAGTATTCAAAGATGTTCATTTGGACCAAAAGAAAAAAGATTGTCTGTGTATATATGTAGAACCCCATAATTTAAGAAAAATAAGCTGTTGAAAACCCCTGGCAGAAACAGTACATGAACAGTTCAAGTCTGGAACAAATGTCATAAGTTCATTTCCTGGAAGTGGTAACCCAGTGCTCATCATAACACTCAATAAATTTAGTATTTTACATCTGGGAATGACATGCAGTGCCACATTGCTCCAGGGAAGCTGTTCCTGCAGTTAGTGTGCTATTAGGTGTTGAATGAAAAGTGTCAGTCAAATGGCTCGTAACTCAACAGGAAAACCTGCTCTTTGTGTCCCTTAACTGAAATTTTTTTTGTGCTTGTACCTAAACATTCATTAAAAAAACACACTAAACACATTATACCAAGATACTAGAACACATTTTGTCTATTATAAACATGTTTTTAAAAAGCACCGTGTTCACTATGTGTTCAAGTCTCTTAAAATCATATTGCCATTTAATGATAGAGTTAGTTATATGATGCTTTTTATATTGTAAAATATTTCAAAAGCTTTTTTTAAATTAAACTAATGATTACACGCACTTACATGTACATGTACAAAACTTTTTAATATGCATGTGCATTTTAAAATAGTTGAAAAAAAATGTCATCTTGGACATCCTTATTTGTCACTGACACTAAACAATTTGACAGTTCTTCTTAGCTCACTAATATCTGTTCTGTGTTGGTTACAGAATCCGGATTACAATTTTTGTTTCTCAAGCTGTGAGAGATAAGAGTTTAATGATTTAATACATCCACCATCTGCTTTATTTAACTTTCATGCAGAGAGTAACCAAACTGCCACTTTATGCAGTTTGAAGATGTTGCAAATATGAACTTGTTTTTCGGAGTAATAAGCCTGCAGACACTGCGACACCTTCTATAAATGTGTATTGATGAGTGAATCTGCTCTACTCCACCCACTGCATGAGTCTCACTTCAGATGTGCATGGCGCATGCAGAAATATGTGTCAGTAGTGCTACCATGGAAACCCATCAGAGGGGCATCAGTACCACATCCAGCACATGGGATTTCTGATCAGATCATTCAGATAATGGAATCTTGCTAAATAGTGCACTGTATTTAAGATACATACCGCATTCGTGTTTCATATTGTGTGTCACGCTTGACGCATCCCAACGCAGTGATTATCAGATACTATTTGCTTTATTGTAGATTCAGAATGTAGCTGAAATATATGTCATGTTTATTTCCCCCAATGCACATTTCTGTCATTTTACTACCGGTATGCATGGTAAAAAAAATTAAAAAAAAGGTGAACTTGGGGGGGCTGTCTTTGCGCGCGGTGCGCCGCCCAACCGGAGATGCACGAGCGTACACTGGCTCATTCGCTCTGGTGCAGACACCGGAGTCAGCGAGGCATGTGTTTGGACACCGGCGTTTAGATTAAATAAAAAAGACACTTACAGAAACCAAACACCTGAGCGTTTTCTTTTCCCGCCGGCTGTTATTTGCCAACGGCCGCTTGTCGCGCCATCAGTTGTTTGAATTGCCACCTCACGCAGGATTGCGGCGCCCTGCTCTTCGTAAACATTCGTGAATGGAAAGCAGTTGCAGAGCAGACATACATCTTGTCAAACGTTTCTCGAATCCTCTGCAGTTTTGTGATTGATTAGCTGGATCGTCTTGCAGCCTATGAGGGAAGATGGAGACCTTCTTCGCAGAGGTGGGCTCATTTTCTAACGAGGGGACGTGTCATTTCATCTGTTGTGCTTTATGTGCAATGCGAAAACAATAGATTGTGCGCTGTATGTGTGAAATAATTCCCCAATAGTCTTATGATGTAAAAACCGGTGGATAATTCTCATTGGCTGTTCCCCAGGATGTTGCTTGTAATGCTGTGTCTTCCTATAACGGTGTCATTCTGTTGACATACAGTCGGTTTACTGTTTATCATTTTCAAGTGCTTTATTAAAAGGAGCCAGTGCGTTATTTGACACGTTGACAGTAGTTTATGGTGATGTAGCGTGCATCGGTGTCTCGCGCTCGCCTGGGCTGTGGCGCGCGTGAAGGGGAAGGGGCTCGTGCATTGAAGCAGAGGCAGGGTCTCTGATATGATGTTTCTGCAAGGGTGCTATGCAAGGTTTTACAAATGGTTTCATGCATCTACACTATTTGTTATGAATGAGATTAAATGTCTCTGATTCCAAAAAGCAGCGCCTGACTGTGTTGTCAAGGCTGTCCGGGCATAACAGATGATTTCCATATTCAGAGCATTCACCTTCAGTCTGATAGGAACATATATGCAAGGCCTCATAATGAACCTTTCACCCTGAATGCATTGGTGGTTTTGTTTACCTGATCTGTGTTCTGCAGGACAGGCCTCACAGCAGGTTTTTCATCCATTTGTTTCATTTTTATGTCTGCTTCTCTCGCTTATCTCTTCATTTTATAGTACAATTAGATGCCCAAATCCTACTTGATTGGATGATTAGGTCATTGCTCCTCTCTCTGTGTTAAAAGCACACACTCTTTGCACACAAAACACCTGCATTTGATGTAATACTGAATTTTGGCATCCTCATTAAGACATTTATCCTCTTGAGCACATGTTATGTCTCTCAAATGGTTTTACGCAGTCAGCATTTAATCTGTGTCAGCGTGGACAGCACCAACACAAGGCTTAGTGAGTAAATGACATTCTTTCTGTCTCTCTTTTAGCACCCATTTCTCTGCTGTCTGCTCTGTGGTGACAGTTCAGGTTATCATTTTGGTGACTGAACAGTCCACACCTCCAGTCCCCACAGCAACATTGGAATAGAGGCATGTTACTGGGTCACCCCATGGTCCTAGTGCTGGGTATTAAATTTTAGAATCTCAAGCATGTGGTTCGGAATGAACTAGATAAAAAAAAAAAAAAAAAAGGAATGATATTTTATAGAAAACCTAAATGTTTATTAAGACGTGTTATGAGATGTGTCATTGTTGTTAAAATATTACAAAGTCTTAGGCTAATTATGTTGTGGACCCACTTACTTTCTAGACAATTTTCTAATGTAGGCCAGAGATTATATATAAGTATTAGTGCTGACCATATAATAGCTCTGTTCAGATGAGAATTGGATGTGAAGGCCTACATCTTTACATGAGGTTCTATTTTTATGCACCACTTTTTAAAATCTCAGTTCAAAAAACATATCCTCAAACTCTATCTATTTGAACGCATACAGAAAATTGTAAGTACTAATAAAGCAGGCCAGAGATTATATATAAGTATTAGTGCTGACCATATAATAGCTCTGTTCAGATGAGAATTGGATGTGAAGGCCTACATCTTTACATGAGGTTCTATTTTTATGCACCACTTTTTAAAATCTCAGTTCAAAAAACATATATGCTCAAACTCTATCTATTTGAACGCATACAGAAAATTGTAAGTACTAATAAAGCGTATCTAATTGGAGCACTGTTTTATTCAAAAACAATTTTTTTTAAATGGTTTGGGATGTAACAGCTAAATTAACAGCCACAGATTTTTTCCCAATCTGGCATCCTGTGGTCACAATCAGCCAATTTTGCAAACCCAACCTTGAGCTTGATGGCACTCATTCTTGACCGTGATGAAATTTAAACTATGTGAGAATAGCTGTAAATCCTAAAATGATAAATGTTAGAGAGGATATGCACACAACACTCAATACTGAAAAGTGTGTCTGATTGTGTGTGTGTTGGTTTATTTTATATAAAATGTAATGTTTGGATGGGTTTTTAATAGGGCTGTGCGATATTGAAGAAAAATGCAATATGCGATAACTCATTAAATAATGCGATATTCGATATGCGATACGATAATGCTTAAAGTGCCACATGCTCAAATGAAACAGTTTTACTCAAATAAGTCAGTTCTGTGAACTTCTATAACTATCTTGTGTCATATATATATGGTTATTTGTATGTATGTATGTATCAAGAGTTCCTGTAAAACCACAACAAATTCCTTGTGTTTGCGCACACTTAAGTGGTGAATAAAGCTCATTCCGATTCTGATTCTAATAAGAAAGCACCCCTACAACAACTTCTGAAAGTGAATGGTAGTGTTTTACTCGAGCATTACATAAAAATGTCATTTTAACAGTAGTGTAATCATTTTAACATGAGTTTAGGAACTGCATAATAAAAAGGAAAAATAAAAACTGCTTAGTATTTACTCTTTGAATTCAATATGCACTGATTCTTATTTAAGCTACAAAAGTTATTTAGGTAAGAGCAGTGAGTGATTTTCTCTTTGTCTTTTGTTCATGGCCCCAAATATTGCAAGCTGTAGCGATATGCATATTGCGATATGTACATTTGCGATATTTCGATATATTGCACAGCCCTAGTTTTTAATAACTGAAGCAAAAAACATATTATGAATAGTTTTAACATAGTTTTACAATTGACATTTTCATTCAATTTTAATTTTGTTGTATTTTTAATATAACTCATTTTATGTTGATTTACACACACGCACCATTTCTGAGCCAGAGCTGTGGAAACTGTAATCTAGACATTTGAAGAGAAAACAAAAAGAGAGTGATTTGTCAATTTTTCAGGTCAGATTCTGGCTTTAATATAATTCCTTTATAGTATTTTTGTGTCTGTGTGCACTTAATATAATTGAACTAATAATACTACTTGCAAAACTGCTTGCAGATGTAATTGTGCCACTATGGCATGTCCACAATCTGAAGCAATGGCAACTGGAGAGTGCCAACCCAA